TAGACTTCGCTCTTCCTCTTCGGTCACGAAGTCGTCGATCACTTTAAACGAGTCTTTAATCAAATCAAACACATTGTCGTCACTCGAGACCAGATATGAGTGCTTATTGTCCGCCAATTGTTCACAATTGGACACATGTCTCAGCAATTGGCGACTTCTTGTGGCCAATCGTTTCAATACAATTAGTTTCGAAAACTTATCAAACATTGCATTTGACTGCAAAAGTCACCACAAATCGGATCCAATGTTGTTGTCACACAAGCCATACAACACGTGACAATCACATGATCTCTCGCTTCACCCAAAGAGTCACTCAATAAAAACGTAACAAAACTTTTTTACATTAAATTTTATTTTACATTTAAATTGTGATTAAATTGTGAATTAATTTTAAGGCAAACATTGATTTGTGGCAAACAATGTGAAGGCAATGAATGTTACAATGATTTGTATATCAAATACATAAACATAACGATAATTAGCGTAAAAACACAATAAATGATTGCTTTGGTCCGCACAGACCGGCGGGTCATTAGACTTAACAGTTTGTGTCCGCGACTCAACTCCCGATTTGTGGCCCGAAGTCTATGCGTCGAGCGTTGAATTGTATCTCTTTGTTGGCTAAGATTGTCGAGTATTTGTCCACCGATTCGCTCGCTTTCCACACATATTCGGTAACCGTCTTCCAGACGCCTTTCCGACGCCTCCATCCGTCGCGTGTCTTCACTCAATAGCAGCGCCTTCTGGTCGTCGGCGCCCACTTCGTAGTCACCCATCAGTTCCAGCCGTGCCGTCGACTCGTCGGCCGCCGATTGGCCTCTCTTCGCATTCCTCTGCAAATTCATTCAAACATTAGCCGACATTTAATGGCAATCAAACGGTTCAATGACTGACAAAATCGGCGCAAAGAGTATCGTATTGTTTGCGAAATGCGTCCAAATGTGTTAAGTGTTGGTCTCTTTGGTGCCCATCCGATGATCTCACGTCTAAATCCATTTGTTCCAACTGTCAAAGACATGAAGACATGACATCTCAACACTCATTCAATGTCTTAATGAGTAATGTTTGGTTTACTCACGAGTTCGTTGGTCTCGTCCAGCAATCTCTTCACGTCCACCAAAAGTGTTTGTCTGTTATCTATGAATGGATCCAATCATTAATGATTGCGTTTAGGGTTACAGTGAATGTCAATTATACCGGTGTTTATCACATTGTTTTGCAATTGGATCAGTCGTTGAGTGATGTCTGCCGTGTTGTCGGCAAACTGTTGCTGAAGTGACAGCAATAGTGAGGCCATTGTAGCCGTGATTATCACCTCAACTGGTATTTCAGTCACTAATATATGACAAGTGTTTTGGCAAACAATGAGTGAGTGTTGTGTTGTGTTGTTTGTGTTGTCAATGCATTACATCATTGTATTGAATGACACAAACACTGTGTGAATACAATTCACTACAAATACAAGTGAAGCTCTAATTGTAAGAGTTATAAGTGTTTCCTATTTATAGCACTCTATTTGCATATTAAGTATTCATAAATCATTTTGATTACATTAGTTAGACTAGACTTACACCTCTCCAAAGACAGGCACAAAGTAGTAATTGTAAAGTTAATTCATATTAAATCATGTTTATAACTTAAATGTCAAATAACTTGTAAACAGTACTACTTTGACAACTTCTCACTTTACACTACAGTTAAAGTTTTGTGAATTCCTTTACATGAATATGAAATAAGAAAAATTAATTTTAATTTTTTGAAAATAGTCGTCAAAGTGGTATACAGAACGGCACACGCGATTTTAGCAGAATTCAATTTTAGCATAAGGTTTTGTTAGCACCAGCGAGTCATATTAGCACTGATAATGACCCCGATTTTAGCAGAACCCAATTTTGGCACATCTTTTTGACAGCACCAATGACATGCCAAATTCGGGGCCGGACTGTATTTCCAATGGTTTGATTAATTTGGTTATAATGAGTATTGAATGTATTTATTCATAAATAAGTGAGTTGATTGTCGTTTTGGGAGTAATCAAACCGTTTGAGCAAAATATGACATCTTTTTGGTGTTCTTTGGGAATAGAAATGAAGTCATTGTAAGAAATTCCGCCCAAAATATATAAAAATAGTTTTCGTTTGCTTTCAGTCTTTGCCGACTCTTTGGATGTGTTTCCAGAGATTTTTAGGAATTTAGTGTCCGATAGAGAGTCCGAGAAATAATTGGAGACAATTGTCGCCACAAATGACTTATTCAATGGATTTGAAGGCAAAGTATTGGCAAACTTTTTATGCAAATCAACGAAATCTTGAATTAGTGTCCAATCGATACGTCGGTCTTCATTGCTGTGTCCGACCAGAGCTTTGAGATCACTTGTCGTCATATCATTGCATAACAATTGAGTTAATATTAAAACTCTAATTATATTGTAATCATTCACTTCGCTATCATTTCTCGCTATTATTTTTGTTAGTCTTTTGTTTCTCTCCTTTCTATCGATTTTCAACTCAAATATCTTTCTCTCGATTTCTAACAATTCATTAAAACTCTTGTTTTGTATTTTTGCCAATATTTTTGTCGCATTTCTTATATTTTTATTTGTCTTTTCAATCAATTCTGTATTCTTTTCGTTCAAATCTTTTTCCTTAATTTCGTTCAAAGTGTTAATTAATAGCGATTTTTCATTCACTAAAATATCCATAAGTTTTCTGTAATCAGAATTCATGTCGTTTTCATAAATCATTTCCAATTCATTGCAAACAAATGGTCTGAATTGCAAACAATGGCGTAAAGGAGTGATTAAATCAGCGGTTCTGTCGATTACCACGAAATCATAATTTCTATTATGTTTTCTCTCTTTCGACTGTTTTCTCTTATTTGCCATTAAAGACAACTCTTTGTTAACCGTTTCGACAATCAATCGGTTTATTTGACCGAAACTATTGTTAAGATAGCGAATAGTGACCGGAATTTCTCCCATTTGTTCAAAAATGTTTGTCAAACGTCTGGACATGTTTTGTATGATTATGTGGTCGACAGGTGTTTGTGTCAACCAATCCATAGACACGTTATCATCGATGAGAACAATGTTGTGATCAATGCATTGAAAAGATCCCAAATGAGAAATGCATGATATCTTTGACAAACTTCTCAATCGATTGAGTCTTGTACAAAGAAGAACCGTTTGGTATATCATGTGATTATAACATAAAAGATGTTTTGCCACAAGAACTCATTCACTAAAATATCCATAAGTTTTCTGTAATCAGAATTCATGTCGTTTTCATAAATCATATCCAATTCATTGCAAACAAATGGTCTGAATTGCAAACAATGGCGTAAAGGAGTGATTAAATCAGCGGTTCTGTCGATTACCACAAAATCATAATTTCTATTATGTTTTCTCTCTTTCGACTGTTTTCTCTTATTTGCCATTAAAGACAACTCTTTGTTAACTGTTTCGGCAATCAATCGGTTTATTTGACCGAAACTATTGTTAAGATAGCGAATAGTGACCGGAATTTCTCCCATTTGTTCAAAAATGTTTGTCAAACGTCTGGACATGTTTTGTATGATTATGTGGTCGACAGGTAAAACACAGTTGGTTAGGTATCTGTGCAATAGTAGCTACTCTTGTTACAACACTAGTTACGTAACTTTTCTAGGGTTTACTCTTTACGTACTATAGAAACTGTTTGAAGAGTTAGCTAACTCAGAACATTTGTCGGTTTCGCTCAAAAATATTGACGTTTTGTCTCATATTGAAGGCGAGACAAAACAGGCGTTTAATGACTGTTTGAAAAGTTTGAGTAACAGAGAGTAAAGTCAGTTTGTTTAGTTTATTTAATACACTATGAAAACCTACTCTTCTTGTGGCAAAACATCTTTGATGTTATAATCACATGATATACCAAACGGTTCTTCTTTGAGAAGATTGATGTCTATTATATCCGTCAGTAAAGCATAACTTCTGTCATCAGTGATGAGAATCTTCCCAATAATGTGTGGATGTCTTCCCTTAAGAGCGCTCTCATAATTGACATCCAATTGACTGATTGGCAAAAGAAATCTTGTTTTATAGATTGCACTCAATATTTGGCTCAAATGGGAACCACTTCTTCGGTTGACATCGGAGTCTATTCTCTGCCAAACCGTTGGAAAACTGTTGTCTTCTTCTAAGTTATTGTCTTTTTCATCGATTTGAATGAAATTGATGTCTGTATTGCACTTCTCAAACGGTACCATATTTTTCAACATATCCTTCAAATTATCTGAACTTTTATTGGCATTTGATGTCATTTTTGAAGAAAATTTATGATTATTTTTTGAATGGAATTTTCCGTTGAAATAAATCAATAATTTTTATTTATGTCACGCTTTTATTGTTTATTTAATATTCATTAAAATTACTGAAACATTAGAAAAAAATAAGACACAGTATCCGTTCATTTGATATGAAATAAATTATCATTTATTGATATAAAGACAAACATAAATTAAATAAAACAGTGGATAATACGATATAACAAATTATGATGGATTGAAAGTATCTATGAATGTGAAACAATATTACGCCTAATAGTACCCTGCACACTGTTGTATATGCTTTTTCTTAAGTCGTGGCCGCGAACC